GCCCAGATTGGTTACTGCACAGACATTCAGCCAGGTTTCTGTGTGTGTTGCCTTAATCATCTCTGGGCATGTGCAGTATTTTGTATCTACCCACTTCAGAGCCAGTGTGGTGTGGTGGTCGTATGGAAGAATCACAGTGAATTTAGATTCAGGAAGATTCAGGATTATGCGTTAGTTTTGCAGCTCACTATTTAGCCACGAGCGAGTCACTTGCCCTTTCTGACTCATGGAAGGGCGTGAAGCTAATCAATCACTTACCCAGTTCAATACAGAGAGGGCATGAAGCTAATCAATCGCCCAGTTCACACTGTATGTGGAAGTGCTGTGCGAACCATAAAGCATTAAGTAAGTGTTGATTTAAAAACCTGCCTGGTAGTTGTTGCCACCTGCTTTGCTGCCCAGAAAGGCCCTTTGCCATCAGAAGAGGGAAACCCCACATCTCACTGTCCATGTGCCTGTGAGTGGTTGTTTCTCCACTTGCTTCAGACACTGCTGGAATGTGAGCAAGCCACAGCATGTTTTTTCTTGGCTCATCCTTTGTCATTTGATCTTGGACTTGGTGACTTCTCTGTCCTCCACAAAAACATTCTTCAGTTTATTAGTCACTATAATTGTACACTGGTCCACCATTCCACAGATGCTTATTGAGCTCTTGAAGTGTGCCAGGCTCTCTGTGAGAAGAGTGGGGGTGAAATACAAGGAGAAATCAGACATGCTCTTGCTTTCAAGAAGCTTATAGTCTAGCCCAGCTGGTGTAGCTCAGTGGGTGAGCTTCGGCCTATGAACCATGGTTGGATTCCCAGTCAGGGCACATGCCTGGTTGTGGACTCGATCCCCAGAAAGGGGCATGCAGGAGGCAGCCGATGGATATTTCTCATCCAAGTTTCTTTTTTTAAAAAAATATATTTTTATTGATTTCAGAGGAAGGAGAGAGAAAGACATAAAAACATCGGTGATGAGAGAGAATCATTGATCAGCTGCCTCCTGTATGTCCCACACTGGGAATTAAGCCTACAACCCAGGCATGTGTCCTGACTAGGAATCGAACCATGATCTCTTGGTTCATAGATCAATGCTCAAACACTGAGCCACACTGGCCGGCTGGGCAGGGGTTGGGGATGGGAACATCTCGCTTTGCTGATGGGGAGGGCAAAGACTCGCTCCTCCACCCCTACTCCAGGTTTTGGCTAAGACACTGTATCTACTCTCACTAACCCTTTCTTTTTCCTCCTCTGCAAACTTCCCTACCCATTCCCCAAACAGAATTCAAAACAGGCTACTTGCTCGGGTGGGGTTGGGGGAGGAGAGAGAAAGGACATAGTTTCATGTCAAAATGTCATCCTAGCCATAGATGAGTCTGCACCTCTGGAGCTAAAAGGTGAGCTCTACAGGGATGAGAGAATCTCCAGGGACAGGCAGTCCTGGCCTGAGGTTGGATTTATTTCAAATCTAAGTCCAGATTTACTGAAGGACACAAAGATTACGATGGGATTAACCACTGCAGAGTAACAACCATAGTAAATAAGAATGGCATTTATTGAGCACATAGTGTGTGCCAAGCATTAAACTGGCATTTTATATATAGCATCTCTATCGCCAGAGGCTGGGCTCTTTCTAAATGCCATGTTACCTCTTGTAAAAATAAGGTCTTACTCACCATGAGGCCAGTTACAGCAGATGACATTGGCCCTCCTCTCTGGAGAGCAGGGAGGAGATATTCTTGACGAGGGAATTCCAGGTCAGTCTAAGTGACGACCTTTCGCTACCTGAACCCACATCCTTCCATCTTCCAGAAACTCTCTGGCCTGCTAAGTTAGGGTTACAAAGGCAAAGATAGGTCCACTGGCCAAGGAGGGTCAGAATCTACCTTGGTAGAGATAAAAGTGGTTCCGATCTTTCTGTCTTATTTTACTCATTAATGTACATGGGTGGAATCTGGAATACCTGTCCTTGTAAGTATAAGCCAACTTCCACTTCCTTCCTGTGTGTATATATTCATTTCTCATGTTACTTGAAGGCTTCCCAGTGCTTGTGTATCTTCAATTTGTAGTAGTGAAACTAGCTGACATTTATTGAATACTTACTCTGTGCCAGGCACTGTTCTAGTGCTTTACATGGTTGAACTTATTTCATCCTCTCAGCAAGCCCGTTATGATGGTGGTTATGCAGATGGGGAATCTGAAGCCCATAGAGGGTAAATCGCTTGCTCAAGGTCCGAGGAGATCTGAGTAGGAACAATGAAAGCATACACCGACAACTAATTGGATGAGCTGGCACGGAAACAACTGGTGGCTGTGAGCATCTTGGAGAGATGAACTTGTACGTCTAAGTTCATGAGATCCTTTCATGGGAGATTGCATTCTATCATCCCATGGGCTAGGGCCGTGGTTGACAAACTGTGGCTCTCGAGCCACATGCGGCTCTTTGGCCCCTTGAGTGTGGCTCTTCCACAAAATACTATGGCCTGGGCGAGTCTATTTTGAAGAAGTGGCATTAGAAGAAGTTTAAGTTAAAAAAATTTGGCTCTCAAAAGAAATTTCAATTGTCGTACTGTTGATATTTGGCTCTGTTGATCTAATGAGTTTGTCGACCACTGCTGATAGGGGATACAGGAAAGAGCTGGCAAGGGCTGAGACAAAAGCTGCTGACTGAGGGTGGGGTGGGGGAGTCCCCAGCAGGGAAGAGGAGAGTAGTCTGAGGGTTTCAGGAAGACCAGGACCTCAGAGGACGAGCCAAGTGGTGCCCATAAGGCATCAATGTCCAAGACCCAGTTCACGAGGTCCCATTTGGCAAAATCCACTTCAGACTGGTATTAAAGGTTCTACTGTCAGAATTTACTCAGTGGAAGTCAGGGACTGAGGTCAAGACCCAGATGTAGAAGGTAGGCTGAAGACCAGAGAGCCCTCCAACATGTCCCCACTGGGAAAGGCTCCAAGACTCTTGTTTATCTCTGAGGAAGTGTAGGCTCCACCCAAACAATACTCAAGGTGGAGACTTGGAACCAAATCGCCTAGCTCAGCGGTAAAGGATTGGGATGGAGCACTGGTGTGAGGGTTGCCAGAACAAGGTTCCAGAAACAGGGTGGCTTCAGTAACAAATCTATTATCTCACCATGCTGGAGGCTGGAAGTCTGAGCAAAAGGTGGGCAGGACCACGCTCCCTTTGAAGGAGCTGGGAGGGTCTGTTCTGGCCTCTCCCCTGGGTCCAGGTAGTTCTTGGCTTAGGGCAGCATAACTGCAGTCTTCACACAGAGGCTTTCTCCCCAATTCCGAGTGCATCTGCTTCCAAAATCTCCTTTTTGTAAGGACACCAGTCCTATTGGAAAAGGAGCCACCCTACCCCAGTATGACCTCATCTTAACATCTGTAACTGAGCTATTTCCAAATGTAATAAAGAGGGAATATGCTAATTGACTCTCACACAATCGCAAAGATGGCAGTGCCCAGAGCCAACAAGGAGGGGACATACTAATTGACTGCCATGCCCTCAAATATGGAGGCGCCCATAGCCACAAGATGGTGGTGCCCAGTCCCCTCAGCCCTCCAGCCCCCCTTGGATGGCAGCTTCCCAGTTGCCCAGGACCACCTGAGGCTCAGATAACCAGGGCTGGCCAGCAGTGGCAGCAGCAGAGATGTGATGGGGTGTTGCCTTTCCCTGATCACTGGGTCATCTCCCACTCCTTAGGGCTCCTGGACTGTGAAAGGGGGCACATCTGGCTGAGGTACCTCCCCCTCCAGTGCATGAATTTTCATGCACTGGGCCTCTAGTTTACAAATAAGGTCACATTCAGAGGTACTGGAGAATAGGACTTCAACATATGAATTTTGGGGGAACACACTTTGACCCATCATGGAGAGGACTCACATCCTGAGACTTGGGTACTGTTCACACGTGCTGCTCACACACAGCTGATTCCCACGCTGGCTTGTTTTACCTTCTCAACACCGTGCAAGACACCCAGGGGCCCGGGCCCCAGCCTGCGCACATCGGTGAAACAGGCCTACAGCGGTTAAATGGCTGTGGCTCAGGCAGTCACTGCCACACCAATGATGCTCTGTGGGCATCTGCTTCCCAGCTGTAACCACAGCAGGTGAAGCCTCCCTGAACCTCGGTCATGGGTCTGAGATGGGCTGGAGAGAAATGAGCACAGGCTACTGGTATAAAGCACCGGGGGTGTTGCCCCTGACCCCTTGTGCAGCTCTAAAGGTAGAGAGAACGTCCTCTGGGTTGAGCTGAGATCCCAGATGAGGACAGATGTTGGAGAGGGTAAATTACACGTCCAGGGTCTCAGGGTTAAACTTTCCCCCCTCTTTGGAGTACCATCCTGGCCAGCATCTTCCCACTCCTCCTCCTAGGAGTTAGTTCCTCTTCTGGGCCTGGCCAGTTCCATCTCCCCCTGACCACCAGCCCCTTCTCAATTCTCCCCTCTACATCCTCGGAAGGTCAAACTGGAATCCAGTCGTGTCTTCCAAAGACCTCTGCCCTTGGAAAAGGAGGTGTGACCTCAGGGAGTGGGAGGCCAGGGAGAGGAGCCGTGGAAACAGCCACAGGGTCTCAGAGCCCTTGGCACTTTGGAAACTCCTATTGCAGGCCAGCTGCTGGCTACAGGTGGGAAACGGAGGCCCTGGCCGGGAGGTGATGTGCCAAGGTCAAATGTTGGGCGGTGCCTGCTGGCGGAAGCCAGGCTTTAGGGGCTCTGTTGGAAGTGGTGTGTGCTTCCCAGGGCTGTGAACTCAGTTCTTAAGACTGCAGGGGTTTATGTATGCGGAGGGGTCGCCCCGGGGAGGGGAGGGGCTCCTGAGGGGAGGGGAGGCTAAAAGCAAGCGGGGTGAGGAGGGGATGTGGGGGTTGTGGGACTGGAGGGCCGTGCCCCCATCCCCAGCGATGGGTGGGACGCCCTGAGAAGGAGCCGGCGGGCTGTTGCGGGGGCGCGCGTGGGGGCCGGGCGGCCGGGGCGGGTGAGTCACCGCCGCCCGCTCCCATTGTGCGGCCCGGCGGCGGCGGCGGGGCGGCGGGGCGGCGAGGCTGCGGAGCCGAGCGCGGGAGGTGGAGCCGCGGGCTGCGGGCTCCGGCGCCTGCGTCCCCAGCTCGCCTGGCTCGCCTCCGCCGTGGGCGCCCCGCGGCTGCCTGGCCCTGCGCGGCGACAGGCCCCGGAGAGGAATCGGGAGGGAGATGGGGCGCGCAGGCCGGCGCGGGTCCCGCAGGCTCCAGAGCCCCGAGGTACCGCAGGGCGGGGCGGGCGGGGCGGGCGCGGCACCCGGACCGGGCGGGCCCCTGGGTGTCCTGGGCTTGGTAGGGCCTGGGCTCTCGGGCTCCGGGAGGGGGAGAGGACCGGGAGGGGGAGAGGACCTGACCCTGCTTTTCTCCCCAGGGCTCTCCACTAGGTCCCTGCAGCGTCCCCTTCTTCTCACCCGCGTCCCGGGTCCCTCAGTGAGCGAGAGCCCCCCTCGAGCGCCTCCCCGGCCATGGCCAACGGAGTGATCCCGCCGCCCGGGGGCGCCTCCCCCCTCCCCCAGGTGACTGAGGCGTCCGGATGGGGGATGAGGAGGGGAGAGACCCTAAGGAGGAGAGGGGTGACCCTGGGACACCCCTGCTCCATCTATGGGCCGCATGGAGAAAGAGGGGGGTCTTTGGCTATTTTTTGGATCTGTTGACCCGCCTCTTGGAAGCTGGGGCGCCGGTCCCAGCTTGGGGGCCTGGAAGAGGAGGCCTTAGAAGATGGAGCCTGCTGGTCCCCACCCCTCTTCCACCCCGGGTTGGAGTTGGGGATGTGGGGGGCTCCCGGGTCCAGGGTCCTTAGGTGAGCTGTCTGAGCCCGCAGGTCCGGGTGCCCTTGGAGGAGCCCCCTCTGAGTCCAGACGTGGAGGAGGAGGATGATGACTTGGGCAAGACCTTGGCTGTGAGCAGGTTTGGGGATCTCATCAGCAAGCCCCCCGCCTGGGACCCCGAGAAGCCCAGCCGCAGCTACAGCGAGCGGGACTTTGAGTGTGGGTAGCCTGGGGACCCCCTAGTGTGGCCGCCCTCACCACCATCACCTCATTGCCGCCATCTCCGTGCTCACACTGGCTGGGTCACCCAGTGCCATCATGTGCTGGACGCTGTGCTGGGCCACCATGCCATGTTTAAGTCATCCTGCTCACTCACCCATCGCCTGCTCGCCTGTCAGGGAAGCCGGTCCCAGTCGCAGGGGGGATGCAGGGACCCCTGTCTCCCCCAAGGCTCTGCCACACCCCGGCCCTCCTCTCTCCGCCTCGTCATCTCCCGTCCTGAGTTCTCTGACTACTTTCCCTTCTGTGCTGCATCGTGTCCTCCCATCCCCACCACCCCCTCTTTCATGACCCACTCCGTTACTCCTGGCCTCCCACTCTGCTAGGCCTCACCAATGACAGGTCAGGGACACAGGTGTTAGGGGGAGTCTGGCTCTTGGGGAAGGACTAAGGTGCCTTTGCTTGAGGCCTTGACCTAGAATAAGGTGTGTGTCCCTAGGGTGGTGTGGGGTCCCCTGCTGCTGTGGGGGTCCCAACTGGCTCTTCTGCCCCCGCAGTTCACCGGCACACATCCCATCACACCCACCACCCGCTCTCGGTGCGCCTGCCTCCACCCCACAAGCTGCGGCGAGCGCCCCCCACCTCTGCCAGGCAAAACAGGAGGAAGAAGAAGGAGAAAACCTCTGCTGCTCCCTCCGAGGGGACCCCTCCCATCCAGGAGGAGCGGGGCACCGGGGTGGAGGAGGAAGAAGAGGAGGAGGAGGAAGAGGAAGGGGACTATGAGGCTGTGCCTGTGGAGTCTGTACCCTCAGGGTCCCCACAGAAAGCGAAGGTAGGGGTCTGGCCCTGCGGGAGGGCGGGCTGCCTAGGGCTGGCGGAGTGAGAGGGGGGGCCTCGCCAGGCTGAGCGGCTGGGTTGGGGCAGGGCCCAGGACATGTCTGCTTCGCCCACAGTTCTCCATTGGGAGTGACGAGGATGACAGTCCCGGCCTCTCCGGGAGGGCTGTCTTCACCAAGCCCTCGTCCTCGGCGGCCACTCACTCGGACAAGAGCCCCCAGCGCTCGGTCAGGTACTGGCCTGCAGCCCAGCTCAGAGGAGATCCCAAGCTGCTTCCTGATCCTGGGGAGTGTGTCCACCTCTGACCCAGAGAGGAGAGGAGGGGGGCAGAGGAGGCACAGGGGGAGGGGGGGTGTTGCCCTGTCTGTCCCCATGATTGGCAAAGGGGAGAGAGAAGTTAAGAGGGAGAGTCTTCCAGGAGAGAGGGTCAGAATGAAGAGGAGGATGGGGATCAGGAGGAAGGGAGACCAGCATGGTGGGGGCAGTAAGGTGGAGGTGAGCTTTCTTTCTGCCCAGGAGGAGCCTGTGTCTAGTGCCCAGGGGGGCACTTTAGGCCCTGCCCCAAGTTGGAGGCCAAGGAACCCCCAGTCCTGGTCTATCTCCACTCTGGTTCCCTGCCATCCAAGGCTGCCTGTTGCCTCCTCAGCTCTCCCAGTCCCCGGGCCCGGCCCCCCCGAGTCACCGGAGAGAAGAGTCGGCCCTGGAGCCCATCGGCCAGCTATGACCTGCGGGAGCGGCTGTGCCCAGGCAGTGCCCTGGGCAGCCTGGGTGGCCCAGAGCAGCAGGTGCCCACTGACGAGGCGGAGGCTCAGATGTTGGGCTCCGCAGACCTGGACGACATGAAGAGTGAGTGACACCCTGTGGCAGCCCCCGTGGCCACTCCCATGAGCACCGGGCCTGTAAGGGACCCTGAAGAGGCTCTGTGCCCTCCCCGCTCACCACCTGGGTTTCCAGAGCTGAGATTTCCCTTCCTGACACCTCTGTCCTCTGACTCACCCCTGGAGCAGGGCAGCCCCCCTTCCACATGATGGTTGGAGATACCAATAGATCCCCCTCCTCTGCTCAGGGCAGACTCTGTTCACCCTTTCAAACCTGCCCCCTGGCGCTGAGCCACTCTGCCAGGCCCTGCTTCTCCCTCCATCAAGGGCTCACCTCCTCGCTCCTGACCCACCACCCTGGGCCTGGCCTGGCTGTGATCTCTGCACATTCTTTCCACCTTATCAGTCCCTGGTTTCTGCGCCACCTGTCATCACCCCCGGGGCTCGGTGCCCAGGCCAGAGGCACCACTGACCCCGCCTCCCTCCCCTTAGAACAGCGTGTGGGCGGGGGCGGGGACGAGGGCTTGGAGCTCAGTACGTCATGGAAAGTTGCCAGGACCCGAGGACAGGGACAGGAACAATCCGATGGCAGCAGCCGTGTTGCTGGCGGGGATGGGGAGGGTCAGAGGGAGGGCGTGTTTACTGATCCCGGGTGGGGGCTTAAAGCAGCCGGGAGCAGCCCTGGGGACCTGGGAGTCGGAGTTGAGAGGCCCTGCCATCTGGGGCTCTGGTTGGACAGAGACCACTCCTGTCCAGGCTCCCATCTCTCAGGAGAGCCGGGGCTTTGAGGGGGCACAGGGCTGAGGCCTCTCTCAGCCAGTGTCAGGAATGACGAGCCAGCTGGAGCTTATAGAGCCCAACGGAGCACTGAGCTCCGGGCCCTGGGATGCTGAGGTCCTGGGTCCCTGGAGGGCTCCAGCTCAAAGCCCTCGAGACTCGCTGGCCTCAGAGGACTTAGAGATGTTTGTACGGGACCTTGAGGACTGTGACCTGTGGGAGTCTGCCAGGGACCAGCTGAGCCCCATGGCAGGGGGACCAGCTTGTGAGTTAAGGGCTGCGGACCTTCCACCAGCTGCTGGCCTGGAAGGGGCAGGTGGGGAGGAAGGGAGAGAACATCTGCCTGAGTGTGCCCGGCCGAGGACCTGCGGGGTTAGACCTGGGCGCCGGGGTTAGACCTGGGCGCCGAGAGAAGCTCAGGGGCAGCCTGGTGGCTTCATGTGGCGCCTGGCACTCCGGGTGAGAAGCAGTGGCCATGGTGGGGATGCGGCCCGCGTAGGGATCTGCCTTGTTACTGTGGCTCGGCCAGCGGTCCTCTGTGTGACTTTGGGCCAGTGCCTCCCCCGCTCTGGGCCTCAGTCTCCTATCTATGAAGTAGCCACATTGACAAGGGGGTCCTGTTGGCATGGCTTCTTGGTGACTATGGTGCCCGCCAGTGGACTGGCTGGGCAGTGCAGGGAGCTAGAGGGGCTGGCCATGACCCCGAGGCCTGGAGCTAGACCCTCGGGACTGCCAAGCCCACCTTTTCCGCAGGCCACCGGCTGGAAGACAACCCTGGCATGCGGCGGCACCTGGTGAAGAAGCCATCTCGAACCCAGGGCGGGAGGGGCAGCCCCGGCGGCCTGGCCCCCATCCTGCGCAGGAAGAAGAAGAAGAAGAAGCTGGACCGGAGGCCTCATGAGGTACAGGGCCCGGACGTGGGCCGTCAGCTTCCTCTTGCCTCTGCTCCCAGAGCCCTCCTTTCCCCGAATTCTCCCCGTGCCCTGGCACTGGGTCCCGTCTGGTGGCCCCCAGGCCCTCATCCTTGGTGCCTGCCCCAGGTGTTTGTGGAGCTGAACGAGCTGATGCTGGACCGCAGCCAGGAGCCCCACTGGCGGGAGACGGCGCGCTGGATCAAGTTTGAGGAGGACGTGGAGGAAGAGACGGAGCGCTGGGGGAAGCCCCACGTGGCCTCGCTCTCCTTCCGCAGCCTCCTGGAGCTCCGGAGGACCATCGCCCACGGTAGGGCCCTGCAGGCCCGGCCCTGGCTGCATGCCCTCTTCACAGACCGCAGAGCCTGTGCCAGGCTGCCCACCTCCCGGAGACTAGCCCCTGGAGTCTTGGCTGCCACCCTGGGGGTGTGGAGTCCAACTGCCTGCCCAGCTGTCTGCTGTGAGGGGTGGGGTGCTGCCCCTGGTCCCTGGCACTTACCTTGGCATAATCGACTCCCCTTTCTGGGCGAAGAGGGGCCGTGCCCTCATTCCGTGCTCCGTTTCCACGGCCATCTCTCTGGTGGGGCTGTGGCCACGTGGAGTAGTGTATCCACCTGGGTGTGGGGTGCGTGGCTCCCCCAGCGTGTTTGTCTGCCCTGGGGGAGCAAGGTCGCTGGGGCGGGCTGTCCCTCTCTGATGCCCCCTTCTCTGACGGTGCCCCCAGGTGCCACCCTCCTGGACCTGGAGCAGACCACTCTGCCGGGCATCGCGCATCTTGTGGTGGAGACCATGATCGTGTCTGACCAGATCCGGCCAGAGGACAGGGCCAGCGTCCTGCGCACGCTGCTACTAAAGCACAGGTGCGGGGAGGGGGTGCCCAGGAGGGGGCCTCCTGGCTCAGCTGTCTCTACAGGAGCAGACTCTCCTGGGGGGCTTCCGGCCTCTGCTTGAGCACCCAAGTGATGGGGAGCTGGTTCCCCATCCCTCCTCCCTCCTGCACTACCCACTAGAAAGTTTTTTCTTACACTGAGGCAGAGGGATAGAGGCCCTGGCCCTCCATGTCTCCCTTCCCCATCACCTCAGTCGCCAAGGTCCTCTCCGCCTCACTACCTCCCTCTTTTGCTCTTCCCCCAGCCACCCCAACGATGACAAGGACAGCGGCTTCTTTCCCCGGAACACATCCAGCTCCAGTGTGAACTCGGTCATGGGGAATCACCACCCCACTCCCAGTCATGGCCCTGACGGGGCAGTGCCCACCATGGCCGATGACCTGGGGGAGCCAGCCCCACTCTGGCCTCACGACCCTGATGCCAAGGAGGTCAGTCGCCTTTACTCTGCCCTGGGTTGGGGGACTGAGAGGGTTTCTAGTTTCAAAAGAGGCCACCGAGTGGGCCAGGAAGGTGAAGTGCCTGGTGTCATATGCTGGGCATGTGGGGGGATCTTTAGGGAGAATCCATGAGGGACCCCTATTCTGGAGGAACAGGAGGTTTCAATGGGATGATGTGGCAGACCCAGGGGGGAAGGCTGAGGTGGTTGTGGGGGGCTTGGAGACGGGGTCCAGATTCCAGGCTGGCCCCCTCCTGATGTGAGGCACATCGCCCGCCCGTAGTCCTTCCCCTGGCTGGTGAGGGGGAGGTTGAGGGGGGAGGGGAGGAGGAAGCAGGGTGGGAGAGCCAGGGGTTGGCGGGCAGAGTCCAGGGCTGGAGCGAGGGAAGGGAGGGCCTGCCACGGCCTCCGGTCTGGGTCCCAGCCCTATTCCAGTTCTGCGTCCTCAGAAGCCCCTCCATATGTCTGGGGGAGACAGTCACCGGGGGAAAAGCCTGAAGCTGCTGGAGAAGATCCCCGAGGATGCCGAGGCCACTGTGGTGCTTGTGGGTAAGGAGGGGCGGGCGCTGGGGGCAGCGGCGGGGGCAGGGGCGTGGGCTCTGTGCCTCTTCCATCCCTACCCGGCCCCACCTGCCCCTCCCAGCTCATCCCCAGCCTTTTCTTCCCCAGTCCTCTGCCTGCGTCCCTTCCGGTGTTCGGCTACCCTGGAGAACTGCTAGGCCATCTAGCACCTTTGTGAGAATTAGAGAAAAGCGCCCCTTAATTTCCATCTGTTGATGAATTGTGGTAAATGTACAAACATATACACGACTAAGTCTCCTTTAGAATGGGGATTCTCTCTTCCGTGCACGCCTGCCCCATTGCACACCATGTTCCTGAGTCAGCCCCTCCTGGCCGCCTTGCCCTCGCCCCCGTGCCCAGTGCCGTGCCCTCTCTCCCCAGGCTGTGTGCCTTTCCTGGAGCAGCCAGCGGCAGCCTTCGTGCGGCTGAGTGAGGCGGTGCTCTTGGAGTCTGTGCTCGAGGTCCCCGTGCCGGTTCGCTTCCTTTTCGTGATGCTTGGGCCCCGCCACACCAGCACTGACTATCACGAGCTGGGGCGCTCCATCGCTACCCTCATGTCTGACAAGGTCGGTCCTCCAGCCTCCTGTCCCCTCCTTATTCTGTCCCTCTCACTGTCCCGGGTACCACGGGTGCAGGGGTGCTAGGGGCCCTCCTGGGTGGAGCAGCGCTTTGGGGAGTGGAGAGGCTGTTGGCGGAGGGGAGGAAGGGAGCCCTCTGAGCCAGGGCTGTGGGAGGGGAGGAGGGGCAGGGAGAAGCAGCCCAGACCTCCGGGCTTTGGATGTGACCTGCACTTGAAGGGGCTGGCTGTGTTGGTCTTTGCCGTGGCTTCTCCCGGGCGTGGATAGGAGAGTGATGTTCAAAATGCTTCCCAACCTGCAGGACGTGGGCACTGCCCGGGCAGAATGGTCTCTGCGGTGCCAGGTGTCACCCTGTAGTTGCTGGATTGTGGGAAAGTCTGGAGGCTCCCAGGGGAAGAGAGGGCCCTGGGAGGGGGCAGTGCTGACGGCTGTGGCTTGCCAGCCAGCAGGGCCTGTGAGTCAGAATTTTGACAACTGGACCGGACCCGTGCGTGTGGCGAATCGTCCGAACCCCTCTCCCCGAAGCCCCGTGCCAGGGCCCCCAACCAGCTCAGCCCCTGCTCTCCTGCCCCCCCCCCCCCCAGCTGTTTCACGAGGCTGCCTACCAGGCCGACGACCGGCAGGACCTCCTGAGCGCCATCAGCGAGTTCCTGGACGGCAGCATCGTGATCCCCCCGTCGGAGGTGGAGGGCCGCGACCTGCTGCGCTCCGTGGCCGCCTTCCAGCGGGAGCTGCTGCGGAAGCGGCGGGAGCGGGAGCAGAACAAAGTGGAGATGGCCGCCCGGGGAGGCTACGTGGCCCCTGGGAAAGGTCAGGCCCTTTGGGACCCAGAGGCCCTCCCCCCCCGTGCTCCTCCTTCAGCTAAGTCCGTGACCTCAGCGCCGTCCTGGCTCCCAGAATCCTGGATGCAGCTTCCAACCCCCGACCCAGGCCTCTGCCCCTGGGCTTGGCCGGGAAGGATGGAGGCGTGGTCTGTGTCCCAGCAGCCCCTTGTTCCCCAGGACTGTCGCTGGAATTGGGGAGCTCTGAGGTGACCCCCGAAGATGACCCCCTGCGGCGGACCGGCTCCGTGTTTGGGGGCCTGGTCCGGGACGTGAAGCGCCGCTACCCGCACTACCCCAGCGACCTGCGGGACGCTCTGCACTACCAGTGTGTGGCCGCCGTGCTCTTCATCTACTTCGCTGCCCTCAGCCCTGCCATCACCTTCGGGGGGCTGCTCGGTGAGGCGGAGGGGTGGGGGCTCCCCGTCATCTCCGAGTGTCCCAGTGAGCACTTTGGGGGCTTATGGGTGAGAGGAGAGAGTCGTCAGTGTGGCCATCCTGAGCTGCTGGGTCAGGGGATTCCAGAGTTCGCTTTTGGGGGAACTTTAAAGATCACCTTGGCGAGCTGGTGGTGAAGGGGCAGGAGGTACGGGGTTAGTAAGGGGCCCTATGTACTGTTCTGGGGGCTGCTCCATTCTTGCTAGGTCCCCAGGCTAGGTTAAGCTAGATAAGGAAGAGGGGCCAGGGAGGAGCCGGGCAGGGTCATCCCACTGACCCTTGCCCTCCCCAGGGGAGAAGACCGAAGGGCTGATGGGAGTGTCTGAGCTGATCGTGTCCACGGCCGTGCTTGGAATCCTCTTTTCTCTGCTGGGGGCCCAGCCGCTGCTTGTGGTTGGCTTCTCGGGGCCACTGCTGGTCTTCGAAGAAGCCTTCTTCAAGGTGACAGCCCTCCCTGTTGCTCCCTGGGGACCACCTGCTCTTCCCCTGGCCCCTCAGCCCAGGTGACAGGTCCCTGCTGGGCCCCCCACCTCCCCCGTGGAGTTACCCCCCACCTGACCCGCTCCCTACCTCATGGGGCCCTGATGTTCGGGGCAGACTGCTGTGGGTAACCTCTTCTCCCTCCTGGCCACCAGTTCTGCCAGTCCCATGACCTGGAGTACCTCACCGGCCGGGTGTGGGTTGGCCTCTGGCTGGTGGTCTTTGTTCTTGCTCTGGTGGCCGCTGAGGGCAGCTTCCTGGTCCGCTACATCTCGCCTTTCACCCAGGAGATCTTCGCTTTCCTCATTTCCTTCATTTTCATCTATGAGACCTTCTACAAGCTCTACAAGGTAGAGGCCCGGAGAGGGGTTGGGGGCAGGGCAGGTGATGTGGGTGGGCAGCATCCTGGCACCAGGAGCATGGGAGGCGGTGGTCTGGAGATTGGGGGCAGAGGGCTCAAAGAGGGCGTGGGGGGTCGGGGACACCCTGGGGTAGGTCTGCGCTGAAGGGGAAGGAATCAGACCCATAGGGTATTGGTCAGAATGCCAGGATTCACCTGCACAGGTGTGTGAAGTGGTCACTGATGCTAAGGGCTGGGTGTCCTTGGGTCACCTATGCAGAGTGCGTGTGTGCGTGTGTGTGTGTGTGAAGTAGCTGGATGTTGTGTGTTACTGTTGCCTGGTCAGGTAGGTGAGGGAGCAGTCCTCTCCCTTGCAGCTGATGAAATCAGGGTCACCTGCCCAGGCGAGCACTAGGGCAGCCTTGTAACCCACATAGGTGTTCACGGAGCACCCACTGCTGCCATTCTACCCCCCTGAGGGGGCCCTGGAGCCGAGGCTGGACCTGAACGGGAGTGCTCTGCCCACCACCGAGGGGCCACCAGGCCCGAGGAACCAGCCCAACACGGCCCTCCTGTCCCTCATCCTCATGCTTGGGACCTTCCTCATTGCCTTCTTCCTGCGCAAGTTCAGGAACAGCCGCTTCCTGGGGGGCAAGGTACATGGCTTCCAGGTGGAGCCCTTGGGGGACTCTCCGTTCCTGCTGTCACTGCCAGGCTCCACTCCAGAGTGGGGCTGCCCCCTCTCCTCATCGGCCCCGGGATCTAAGCCACATCTATGTGGCCCCAGCCCATCAGAGCCTCAGAGAAGTCTACTCAGAAGTAGAATGCCATCTGGGCTGGCTGGCGCTCATGCGGCTTAAAGGGACAGGTTGGGGAACTTTCTGAACCAGCTCAGACCCATGAGAGGTCCGGGGTAATAAGCCCTTGTGAGTCTCCAGCCCTCACCGCCACCTCTGCTCCCTTCTCCTAAGGCTCGCCGCATCATCGGGGATTTCGGCATCCCCATCTCCATCCTGGTGATGGTCCTGGTGGATTACTCCATTACAGACACCTACACACAGGTGAGTGCGCCCAGCCTCTCTGGCAGCTGGTCCTCACCCCTGGCCTGAGCGGCAGTTAGATTCGGGCCGGAACCAAGCTTTCCTGGTGGAAAGGCAGTGACCTGCTGGGGTCACGCTAGATGATGAGCTGGCGGTTCAGAGCAGCCATGTGGTCCCACTGAGGAGGCCACCCAGCACCCTCAGGCTGTGTGCGACCCTAGGCAAGACCCGGGGGAGCAGGTATGGGGCTGGGGCAGAATGACAGGTGCCCCCCCAGCAGGTTTCCTGGCAGCTCTGGGGACCTGGAAGAAGACAAGTCATGTCTCTGCCCTATACGGGACCCTTGTAGGGACAGCAACTTCGGAGGATGCAAAACTAACTTCCTTTAAGCCCGTTCACACCCCAATTCCCTGGAGCCCTGGTACTGGGGACACGCGGCTTTGCGGGAGCAGCTGCTGCATGGGTTCCTAGCATTGGGGGTGGGTGGGCAGTGTCCCTGAACCCTGCCTTCCTCCTGGCCTCGCAGAAGCTGACAGTGCCCACGGGGCTCTCAGTGACCTCCCCCCATAAGCGCACGTGGTTCATCCCGCCTATGGGCAGTGCCCGTCCTTTCCCGCCTTGGATGATGGTGGCAGCTGCCGTCCCCGCCTTGCTGGTCCTCATCCTGATCTTCATGGAGACACAGATCACTGCGTGAGAGGGCGGGGGGTGGGGGTGGGGGTGGGGGTGAGGCCCGGGCGCACGGTGCGGTGGTGGGATTGGCAGCAAGGGGACAGTATTTTGCCTGTGGTGCTTGGCCGGGCCATCTGTCTGGTGCTGCCGGCGTTTGCAGGGTGGCACTTGACGGTTCCCAGAACGCTCTGGCAGTATGTTCTCTCACCCAGCGCCTCTCACATGATCTCATTTTGGTTAAGTCGCAATAACGAGGTGAGATCTGGCATCTGGCTTTTATGGTATTTTAAACATCCACAGTGTAAGGAATTTGGCTCAGATTTGCTTAAATGTGAGAACTTTAATTGGGGAACTTGAAAGAGGAAGTCGGCAGATCCTGGGAGAGCTCTTCTCTGCTCCCCCGACTACCCTGGCCCGGCTGCTGGCCCACTCACCCCCACTCGGCTCTCCGTAGGCTCATTGTCAGCCAGAAGGCACGGAGGCTGCTCAAAGGCTCCGGCTTCCACCTGGACCTGCTTCTGATCGGCTCCCTTGGGGGCCTCTGTGGGCTGTTTGGGTTGCCCTGGCTCACAGCTGCCACCGTCCGCTCGGTCACCCACGTTAACGCGCTGACTGTCATGCGCACCGCCATCGCGCCTGGAGACAAGCCCCAGATCCAGGAGGTGCGGGAGCAGCGGGTCACTGGCGTGCTCATCTCCAGCCTTGTGGGTGAGAGCGCCCACCTTGTAAGGCCGGGCCCCGCTCCCCAGACTTGCCTTCTTGGACCCCAAGGTCTTAACTCAGCTCTCTCCTCCGGGCTGGGGCCAGGTCCCTTCTGACTCTCGAAAGGCGGCCTGTCCAGCCCCTGCCCTGCCTACCAGTCCTGCTTCCTGACCCCCATGAGCCCCTTTCCTCATGGCCTTTCCCGGTTCTCTTTCCTGCTCCATCTTCTCTTGTTTGTGGTGATGAGGCCCAGCCGGTCAGTTAGATGGTCCGTGCCCCCTCCCCACCAGGTCCGTCTGTCCTCGCAGCGCTGTCTGCGGGGTCAGGTAGGTCTGTGTCTCCTCCTCCAGGCCTGTCCATCGTCATGGGGGCTGTGCTGCGCCAGATCCCGCTAGCTGTGCTCTTTGGGATTTTCCTGTACATGGGGGTCACGTCACTGTCTGGCATCCAGCTGTCCCAGCGCCTGTTGCTCATCTTCATGCCAGCAAAACACCATCCCGAGCAGCCCTATGTGACCAAGGTACTGCCAGGAAGCATGGAGGGGGGAGCTGGGTGATGGTGAGGATGTCCGGGGGATCCCCTATGGACAGGATAGGGTGACTGGGAAGATATATTGGGACCTGAGGAGCCAGCTCCCTGGAGATGTGGGCGGGAGTGTGATGAGACCTGACACCGGTTCCCAGGTGAAGACTTGGCGGATGCACCTGTTCACCTGCATCCAGCTGGGCTGCATCGCACTGCTCTGGGTGGTCAAGTCCACAGCAGCCTCGCTCGCCTTTCCCTTCCTGCTGCTGCTCACGGTGCCTCTGAGGCGTTGCCTTCTGCCCCGGATTTTCCAGGAGAGGGAGCTGCAGGCGGTAAGAGACTGTGCCCGGGGGCAGGGGCAGTGTGGTTGGGGCCTGGGTTCCAATCTCTGCCGCACCCTCTGACAGCTGTGCAACTGACACAGGTAGTCTAACCTGAACTCTCACTTTCATCTATATAAGGGTTAATAGAAGATCCTACCTTATACGATTGCTGTGAGGCTTAAACACCAATCCAGGTGAAGTTCTGAGTATGATGGTTTGGTGTGACGTAAGCACCAGGCTGCTGCAGACAGCTGTACAGGATGTACATTGAACAGAAGCACGTAGCTGAGGGGCGGGTGGGGGTGGGGCAGTGCTGAAATCCATCTGAGCTCTACTTTTTTTTAAAACAGTAAATGACATTCTTTAAAAAAAATATATTTTATTGATTTTTTTTACAGAGAGGAAGGGAGAGGGATAGAGAGCTAGAAACATTGATGAGAGAAACATTGACCAGCTGCCTCCTGCATACCCCCTACTGGGGATGTGTTCGCAGCCAATGTACATGCCCTTGACCGGAATCGAACCTGGACCTTTCAGTCCACAGACCGATGCTCTATCCACTGAGCCAAACCGGTTTCAGCTGAGCTCTATTTTTTGTCATCTAGTGGAAGGGGCATCTTTTTGCAAATCGTCCACCCAAACCTGGTCTACAGAGGTAGACCGCAAGAGCTAGCTAGGAGTGGCCCCAAGAAAGTGCTTCACCTATGGTAGCTGCTATCTGGGAGCAGCGAGGGCTGCTGGCTGGGGAGGAGCTGGGGAACTGGGGGAGGGGGCGGGGGAGGCGCCACTTGGCTTCCTTGCCTCTTCTGACCTTCCCCTCCTTCTGCAGCTGGACTCAGAAGATGCTGAGCCAAACTTCGACGAGGATGGCCAGGATGAGTACAACGAGCTGCATATGCCTGTGTGATCCTCTGACACGGTGCCCATGAGAGACCCCGACGTCTTAGAGACTACTCCCTGGGCCCCTGCCAGAGCCCAGCCCCACGGCAGGCGGGCTCCTCCTGACCCAGAGACGTTCCGGAACCGCTACTGACGCCATGGCCAGAGGGGCCCGGACTGTGCCCGAGGCTCTGACCTTATCTCACCAGGCCCTTTCACAGACCAGCACAGGCTTTACCGGCACAGGCTTTGAGCTCATTATAACCACACCCCTTGTCTTGTGTCTGCTTCACTTTCTTGGTTCCACATCTGGTTTCTCAGGTCAGAGTTATCCATCTGGAATTGGAAGAATTGGGAGAATTCTATATTCAGGGTCATCAAAACCTGAGAGGAGGTTTGAGGCAAGGACAGAATTCTTGGTTGAAAGGGAGAGAATCAAGACCACAAAAGGTCAGAGCTGGGCTTTAGCATCACCCCCTTGAGGTCCCTCAGGTGCAGCCCAGGAGGAGCCGGGAGGCTCAAGGTCTGGCTCAAGGTCACATGCTTAAATCCTGCCCCTGATTGGGAGGGGTGAGTGGGGGAGGGGAGAAGGCAGTGGTTGCTTTGCTTTAGCCGCTAGGGAAATCCGAGCTTGTCCAAGGGCTGTGGAGCTACAGAAGGGAATGTAAAAACGTCTATCTTCTTTTCTTGATTCCTGGCATTCAGAGGAGCAGGGACAGTAGCCCAGTTCCTCAGACGCCAGGGTGGTGCTGGATTTGGGGTTCAGGGACCATTTTAGATTCTCTCGGCTTAAAAGAGTGGCAGTTCTGGGATTCCTGAGGCTACTCCTGTGCCACAGCCTGTTAAACCAGAAATAACCTGGGGGCCTTGAGGAGGGTCGAACTGGGTGTCCTTACGTCACAGTTGCTTGGCAACCGGCTGCCTGTGGGAGCTAGTTGTCTCTGTGTGGCCCTCTGGTGGCCGCTCTCTAACACTGCAGGCTCTGCCCCATCTGGTAGGAGATGCCCAGCCTCCTGGAGGACCCCCAGTGGTCAAAGAACCCATTCAAGCACATTCTCCTTCCGAGAGAGGGAAGGCAGAGAGGTTCCCTGGTGTCCCGGCCTTAGGAGGTTGTGAGCATCCAGAGCCAGGATTCCTCATCCCCATTAGCCGCTTCTGCTGTAGCCAGGCCTGCTTCTTCCTTAACCTTTTACCAGTTTCCTCCCAAGTATTCAGGCAAAAAGCTAGAGCTAGGTAGCTGGTCCTGAGAGAAGGGACAGACTGCTGTGAGGCTGTTTGTTGTGTTCCTAAGGAAGACTGCTCCTTTCCAGCTGTCTGGGATTGTCACCCAGGTTTAAGCATTTCATCCAGTCCTTTTGGCTCCTTTCGTCTCTGGCGCCACCATGTCTCCTAACAGCATCTGGCCTCTGACGAACTCTCCTTGCCCGAGGGCCTTTTCTCTGAGGGTGGCCAAGGCAAGGTGGAGTTTCAGAGGGACTTTGCTAGCAAAGGCAAACGCAAAAACCTCGAACATAGATGTGTACAGAAAAGATCCCAAACACAGATACCAAGGGCCAGGCAGAGGAGCGCGGCTGAGAGGTTTGGCATGCAGGACTCCATTCCTTTCCAGAACTCTACATCAGGTCGCCTGGCTCCCCTGTGGCTCTCAGCGGGTGCGGGCTGGCCTGTTCGACTCTCTGAGTGGGGTTAAGGGCAGTGGGGGCAGGCTGGCTGTAGGCGATGCCAAGACCCTCACAGGAAGGAACCACTTCGTCCCCAGCCTCTGAGAGAAAAAGGCAACCTGAACCAGGAAGCTCTTCATTGGACTCTGGTTGTGTTTGGCAAATAGCTGAGAACTGTGGATATTCCTCAATTGGAAAATGAGAAATAAGGTGGAAGCTTTCGAAATAGAATGAACTCTGGTCCCAGGTGGTGTGTCAGGGTGGCCTCTAGTATAACTAGGCCCTGAGGCCTCAGAAAAAGAGGTGAAAAATTTTCAGTGAAGGATAGAACCAGATATAACCTCTGGCCGGTGAACATGCCACCCAAATGAGAAGTACATGAATAAGGCCCAAGAGCCAGGAGCCTTGAAGACTATGCGATTCCCACCTGCCCTTACCCCTAGCCCCTGAGGGCAAGCAGCTGCAGTTTGGTTAAGTATCTGAGGCCAGAGTTGGCCCAAACACATGCTGAGCTGGGCCTGTTCAGAGAGGACACTTCCACACTCGGGGTAAGGGCCTGTGGAGGCCCTGAGAGGTCTTAAGGAGCCATAGCAACCTAGAAGCTTACTGAGGGATGGGAGAGGAGAGAGTCAGTGGGGCCAGGTTGGGCATCAAAGAGAGAAAGACAAGAGATAATGGGACCATGGCAAACCCCTAGCTAGGCAACCGGGGTGGGGGTAGGGAGGCCAGGCAATTAGAAATCTTTTCATTTGGGGACATTAGGGATTTATCCTAAAGCCATTGTAGCCCCTAACTTACTCCTCACTTACTTTCCAACCTTATCCTCCTGGATAAGCTTGAGAGAGGCCTACTTCTTCCAGGTGTAGAGGGGAATCAACAGAGAGAAGCCCCATCTGGTCCTGGTGGACGAAGGGGTGGGTTAGAGGCCATGGTATTTTTGAGTGACAGGTCCCACACCATCTCCTTTAGACTGGAAGCTACTTACCAGTGGGCATGTGCAAGGTGGCCCAGCACCCTTCCAGCAAAGGAGGATGGGCGTCTCATTGCTATCTTGCCCCTTGGGGCTCTCTGAGTGGGGTTAGGGCCACATCTTGGACAGCTGCTGATAAAGTTTTCATTATCCTTGCACAGGTTCAAGCCCACTTTAGGCCCAAAGAAGTGCTAACTCATTCTTCTACTTTGAGCAAAGAGGGCAGCTGACACTTCCTCGTTCCACGCTGAGGAGTCAGCTCACTCGAGACGCCTGATGCCCTCATGAAAGCTCCCGGCTGTCAGAGCTCAAACGCCATCTGCTTGGATTGCCCCGGGCCCCTCCTTCAGGGCTCAGAACCTGGCAATAATGTGTCCCCTTTGGCAGCCTGTGTGACATCTCTTCTTGTATTGTGTCAGGTGACTGCAATAATGATCATGCCTGTTGACACCTAGAGCTCTCAGAGGGAATTCTGAGCAGCATGAGAAGGGCAAAACAGAACTCAAGGGCACTTGCACACAACGCTGCCCATACAGCTGGTGCTTAAGCCATTCTGAAAACAACAATAAGACAGGTTCTGGGCAAGCACCGAACGGGATTGAATCCAATGTGGCAAGTAGGAAATCCAAAGTGAGAAGTTTGGTTTCCAGATAAATACATTATATAATTGAGAGGGAACCTAACTGCTCTCATGACTCACCACTGTACAAATGCTAATATTTACAGGGTTTCTGTTCCAGAGGGAAGATTTAATATTTGAGATCTCTGCTGGGATTATTTTTATTTTACTTGGAACTTTTTTTAATTTTTTTTATTTTTTATTGAACAGTTCTATATCAAATGCTGAGTAAACACACAGCTGTTGGGATGTTCTCTGGGTGGTGGGTGAGTCCCACTTGGATCTGGGAGCCGAAGGAGGAGCAGAGGGCGCCTGGGACAGGGCTTCCAGGACCATGGGAGGTGAAGGGTAGAGAGGAGGTGGGGTAGGGACTGGGAGCAGCTGGGATGATGCGGGTGGTTGGGAGGGAGCACTGAGGAGATACAAGACAAAACTTTGATTAGAGGATCCCTCAGTATGCTTGCCACGGCACCCCTCTCACCACGCTCCTGTGACTTGTATTTGTCTGTCTCCCTTCTAGGCCATAAGATGGGCAGAGACCTGGCCTGAGCTTTTTTTGTATCCCTAAAAAAAGCACTAGTGCCTGGCTATAGGGGTGTGTGGAGGGCATAGGGGTGAGCAGGTGGCAGAGAAGAAAGGGCCAGTAGGTCAAGGACGCTTCCCCATTTAGGATCTAGTGAAAGCCAAGGGTGACACCAGTAGAACTTATAAAGGATTCTGGAAATGTTTTGGTTATCATTTTTGGTAGTTTCAATTACAGCGTTACTTCTCTGTGTCTGTGAGTAGTGATACCCTCAAAACCCAAAGAGGCATTGTGGGTTTCTTTCTGAGCCAGCTGGAGGGAGAAGTATTGGCGACCCTGTATACGAGGCTGATGGGTAGACAGTGTCAGGTGGGAAAGACAAAGTGCATCAGAGGCTGCAGGAGCCCAGGACAGCGGTCAGCAAACTGCGCTCGTAAGCCACATGCAGCTCTTTGGTCCCTTGAGTGTGGCTCTTCCACAAAATACCATGCGAGGGCATGCACGTATTGCGTGATTGAAACTTCGTGGCCCATGCGCAGAAGTCGGTTTTCGGCTCTCAAAAAAAATTTCGATCATTGTACTGTTGATATTTGGCTCTGTTGACTAACGAGTTTGTCGACCACTGGCCCAGGAGCTAAGGCGAGGAGCCTGAGAGGTGGCGCTGGGACTGATGCCAGCAGGAAGCCTTGTGTTCCATCTTAGCTGTCCATCCCTAGTCCATCAGTGGTTGTTCACAACGCTAATGATGGCCCTAGCCCATTTACTCAGCTGTTAGATCCCCGGCTCCAGGTCAGGGCTCCTGTGGAAGACAACCAATTGATATGTCTCTCTCACATCAATGTTTCTCTCCCCTCCTCCCTTCCTTCCACCCTCTCTAAAAATCAATGAAAAAATATCCTCAGGTGAGCATTTTTATAAAAAATGCTAAGGATGGGGACCAGAGCATCTTCTTTATTTTGGCTTTTGGAGTGCCTGTTGTATACAGGGCTTTTTTTGTAAGAATTTTCCCCAAGGACAGGGCTCATGAGGCCTCCCTTCCCCATTTTCTCTTCCCCAGCTCAGCTTTTTTGGGTCCACATTTCCATGATAGCTGAAAGCTATTTTTTAAATCTATTGTTGAGATCATTACAGATGTCACTCTTTTTTTTTTCCATAGCCCCCCTCCACCCAGTTCTTGCCCCACCCCAGGTCTTCATCATCCTATTGTCTGTATCCATGGGTAATGCATATTCTATCTAATAAAAGAGTAATATGCAAATTGACCATCATTCCAATACACAAGATGGCCACCCCCATGTGGTCAAAGATGGCTGCCCCCATGTGGACACAAGATGACTGGTAGGGGAGGGCAGTTGTGGGCAGTTGGGGGGACCCAGGCCTGCAGGGGAGGGAAGTTGGGGGTGACCAGGCTGGCAGGGGAGGGTAGTTGTGCGGGGGTCCAGGCCTGCAGTGGATAACAGTTGGGAGGACCCAGGACTGCAGGGAAGATAGTTTGGGGGGGCGGGGAAAGACACCCAGG